ACAAAAAATGCAAGTCTACGTCTAATTTATAATGCTAACAAAAAAAATGTCACTTTCGACGAAGCATTTGTAGTGAGACGCACTCTATTTAGAATTGTACATGTCATTAATCTAAATTTCATTCACTGCATTATTTTAATCCAATGGATAATTTTATCAACCTCCAACATATCGTTGCCTCTCACATTCTCGTTTTTTTTTTTATTTTTTTTTTTTGTAAATTTAAACTTATATTTTAAATTTAACGTGTATAGTAATATTGTCTTAGCTTTATACTGACAGAATGCTGTCCCGTTGTGGAAAAGTCACCATTGATTTATTTGATAGTTAATTAAATAAAATATCAAATTGTTAGCGATCGAAAATGGGACCGAATAAATTCAAGGTGCCTCAACGACACGGTATTAACCTTTAAAATCGAAGGTCCTACAAATTATTCAATCAAACAATTTTCAACGAGTATTATGCATTCACGATTTTACCTTTAATTATTCGGAAATCGTAAATAAAGGTATGTGTGCAGTTATTGGTAATAAATTCAGAATCATATTTACAATATACTAAGCTGACCCGGCAAACTTTGTTATGCCACATAAAAATATTAAAATATTCTATCTTTTAAGCAAATTGTATGCATTTATAAAATTTCATTAAAATCGGTTGAGCCGTTTTGATGATTAGCGTGAACGAACATCGCGACACGTGACTTTTATATATGTATTTAGAATTTAATCACTACAGTTGATTCCCACAACTTTGCTTTGCTTGCTTTCAGACTTAAAAACGTTCTACTAATCCTAATACGAATGCCAAATGAAAATTTACGCGCATTTTTACCTTCAATACATATATATTAAAAATTTTAACATTTATATACATTTACATAGATTTCGATTGTTTGTATCACAAAGCTTATATTTGTAGATATATTACTCTCTGTCTGATTAGTAAACGGTTACCGCTACTGACTAGTATAGTATAGTATGTACCTATTATATTATGTGCGGATGCCTACAACAACAAAGGTGTTACTTGTGCGTTACCGCCCCATTAAGAAGAACTATATACTGTAGTATTTAGGAAGAACTTCGGGAAATAATTTATAAAATATTTAATTAAATTATTTTAAAACTTAAAACATAATATATATATATATATATATATATATATATATATATATATATATATATATATATATATATATATATATACAATTTTTAAAATAATTGCAGTTGTATCATATGTACCTATAGAAAAAACAAAATACCGTTGTATACTTATTAAGAACTTGTTTAGATTTTTCTTAACAAATCTGCAAAACTTTCAACTCTACAATTTAAAAAATAAAATACACACCTGGTGAAAAGAGCATAACCGTGGGAAATAGCCTATTAGACGATAGTTCGATACATTAATTAAACAGCGTACAAATTGCGAAAGGCTCAAATATTATTGCCTTACATAATTCTGTCCGTTCCGTTTTCATAGGATGAGATCACAGTCATCGCATATATCGATTGGTAGTGTCGAGCAATCGAGTCGAGTAGACGATCGACCGAGTTGATTAGTAGTCAATTAAGTATTCCCATAACAGCATCAATAAAAGTATTCGGTGATTTCTAAGTATTTTGTTGTAATCAATTTTTGGTGTCGGCAGCCGTTTGTGGAACAACAAATGGTGGTTTTATTGGCGTACCAAATTTGGTGAGGTCGGTGTCGAATGCTTACTGGACCCGCTGCTGGGTTCCGCACTAAGTTTTATTCGAGTAGGCTGAGTTATCCGATTTTTAAAAAGTGCAATTTTAACAAAATTTGATTAAAAACTTTTGGTTGGTGATTTTATTTTTCTTTTTGAAGTGCTTTGAAAAATAGTCAAATAAAATCTAATAAAATTTTGTGTTTCAGGTGCAATTTTGGTATTAGACCTTAAACCGAAACCGAGAGAATTTCACCGAGTATATACTAAAATGTAATGAGGGGGGGGGGGGGGGGGGGGGTTACTTTCATCAATGAGTTCGAAGTTTAGATTGACATTTAAATTTCTTTTTGATATTTCTATTTCATGCATAAAAAAAAAATATTCTAACAGTATTATTATACGTTCAAAAAACAAGACATTTCGAAGAAATGACAATAAAATACTTACATTATAGAACTAACTACGTATTATAATAAAAAATAAAATATACTGAACCCTGTCCAGTATCTGTGTATCGTTCGCAGCGGGCGTGTCGAAAGGCCACCTCAAGAAGCCGAAAGCTTCGGTCCGGTAAAAATTTTATAGTTTATAATTACTAGTGATTGCCGCGTGACCGGCTCGATTCGCTCGCTTATGTCTGTTGTGCCCTTATAGAACAGAATTCAAGTGCGTGTATTGTTTAATTTGTTTTGTGTCCACACAAAACTTAGTTTATTATAAATGCAATCATTATTTTCGAGACTGAATACTTGTAGAATTCATTACGACAAACATGTTCGATTTATAAATATTTTTTATATTTTTTTCCGTCATCTACTAGTCAACTGTAGACAGGTATAACGGAAAATATAATTGACGGTGCAACTAAATAAAAAAAAATTTTTTAGGGGTGGGTCACTCTTATTATTGAGGGGTATAAAAATAGATGTTGGCCGATTCTCAGACCTACCCAATGTGCACACAAAATTTCATTCGGCAAATGTCGGAGGATCTATATATTTTAATTTTTAAATAATCGAATTTTTCTTATATCGAGTATTACACACAGATTATCAGATTTTGAAAACAGTTCATTATTTATTTTATTCACCCTTTTATTTATAAAAACTTAAACCTCCTACAAACATTTTTTAACTATTACAGTGTTTTATCACTTTCTTACAAACTGACAATTTAGCACAAAAGAAAAAGATAAAACAATTCAATAGAGACGTTTGATGTTTTTATGAATGGAGGAATTAGTGTTAATGCTCAAACTTAGTGTATTATAAATTTATTAACTTATTTTTAAGACTGTATAGTATCAGATTGTTTTTAAGTTGTTCGAGTTAAAAAAGAATTTTAGATAACTATTTAAACAAAATCGTTTTACACGAGCTTTTACTGTATATCCATTTCTTTTAATATCTCCTTTTAATATATCCTTTTAATTTATAACTAGGTATATTACTGAATACCGGTTTTTCTCTATAGACAAAATAATCTACCTCTCGAGTTTTTACTGGTCCGCCATTTTGATACGGACTTTGGTATGAAATTTGATTTGTAGTGGACTGTAGAAACTTATAATAGGGCTTTATTACTGCTTTAAAATACCGGCACAAGCGAACAAGTACAGACAAGATGTAGAAAGGTAAGGACTTACGGAATATTCTTGTTGAAGTCTGGAGCTGCCTACAAGTGTACGGGTTGTCGATCGTCCTAGGTTCACTTTTAGCCACAAACTTGGATGAATACCTCACTGAAGCACCTTAATTATGATTATTTTATTCTGAACGCGCGAAAAGGCCGCCATCAGTGATTTTTTGTTGTTTCTCGAATGTTGTCATTTTGGGCAGCTCTGATTGGCCGCGTTCGCTGACAGGTTGAATGGAAAGGGAGGGCGCGGGACATTTGAATGTACTTGTTTTAATGTTCTAACAGACTTATAAATTTTCATTTCGAGTTCGAGTCGAGAGAGTTAGTTTCGAATGTTGTACGCTGTATTACACTTTATATTTCTAATGTCCCTCTCATTGTGATATTCTAAATATAGCCCAAAAGTGAGCACGTTTATCTCATATCATTTATATTAACTTTATCATAACTTTTTTTTATATCTATCCTTGACTAAAAACAATAAACTTAACATAACACTTCATGCACCAAAAGTATAAACTATAAAATATATATGTGTGTGTTCCTATCTTCTTTTCAATTTCATAATACAGCCTTGGCCAAAAGTATTTACGACCCTAAAATCCTTAGAAATTTCTTATCTATTGATTTGTACTAAGTCTATTGTCGCATAGTATACGTCTAAAGATTTTTAAATGAGCTAATCAAAACGATTCACTATCTCATAAAACTATAAAGATAATAGAGGGGCACCTCTTTGCTGAACTAAACGAAATGCTGGGGAAAAAATTTCTGCTAGATTAGCAGTTCTAAACTATAAAGAATTGTTTAGTAGGTACAGTAGTGGAATGCCATAATTCTATAAAAATGTAAAAATTTAATTACCTCTTTACACAAAAAAATACATGCTGTAATTAAAGCTAAGGGTTTCAATACGAAATATTAATATAATTTTAGCATTAAAGGTATTTTCAAGTACATGGTTTTTTCCGTCCAAATCATACAATTTTTAAATTAATTGTAATTTTCTATGGTAGCCAATACTTTTGGCCAACACTGTGTACTATAATACTAATAATATATAATATAATCCATACTAATATTATAAATAGGAAAGATTTGTTTGTTTGTAATGGATAAACTCTTCCTTATTCATAAAAACGTCAAACATCTTATAAATCTAATATAGCTGTTAAGATGTTTTGTCTCTTTCCTTTGCGTTAAATTTCCAAATTGAAAGAAAGTAATGAAACAGTTAAAGTAGGTTTGAAGGTTTAAATTTTAATGAATAACTAATATATTTGTAATAACTCTTCAACTGGTTTTTGAAAATCGATCGATTTTTGAGAATCAGATCGCTAATATTACATATTTAATTTATTGTTTTATCTGTTTGGCATATTATGTTTACATTTAATGGCCTGCTAGCATTTTTCATTTTGTTCATTACTTGACTTCACTACTACAGTCCCATACTCACTCCATCTCTGTATGGGATATTTGTCCGTTTAATCTATTTAAATAGTATTGTAGATTTTTTTCTACTTATAGAATAGAATAACAAGTCTATCATATATTTATAAATAGATAAAATACAAATAAAACGGTGAAACTACTTTATGGATAGGATACATATGCAATAATACCGAGCTTATTTGCAATACTAAGTTGTATAAAAACTTACCTTAGTCTTACTCCCGCCAATAGAACCAGGCCGAATGGACCCAGTCTCGTAGAACCTGGTGAGGATCTTAGAGACACAGCCATGGGAGACGAGAAGCTGCCGGCTGATGTCGCAGGGTCTGACTCCCATGATGGCCAATTCCACGATCCTTTTCCGTACCACGTCGGGGAGTGGACGTCCGTTTACGAACACTCCACCTAATTGGTTGACCCCAGCTTGACCTGTCGAAAAGAAACCTATTTAGGTTTCTTTTTAATTGAATAAGGGGATCTTTTAATCAAAAGGGAATATAAAAATAAATTAAATATAAACTATATTTATTTAAATTACCTAGATCACAAATCTTTTGTCCATTTTATAGGTAGAAAATATTTTTATTTAAAATAGATAATCAGCTTGTTTGTCATTCAAATTTTTTTATTTTATTTGAAGCACATTAAGCGATATTTTCATAAATTTTAAACCTATTTTGATAAATCTTTTTATTATCGATACGATTTCTTCAGCTTGTAGCTCTGTTTAACATGAAACATATTATTGACCGTCATTTCAATAAAAATACATTATGTATAAAAAATAACAATATATAAATTATATTCTGATTTATTATATAATAAATATCAATTACTCACACTAATTTATATTAATTAATTGTTATATTTAATGTAAATTAGACAAAATTCATTAAAAAACAATCGACCTTTACGCTAAAATTGAATTATTTTCTCATTACAGAATAAATATCTAAATACATTTATATTATTCAAACTAACATATCTCAATATGATACTAACAAAAAACATATGAAAACTACTAACTGTTACTGGAATCATTTATTTATTTATTTAAATAACTATATGAACAAAAAGAAAATATACTACAAAAGGCGGACTTAATGCTAATAGCATTCTCTACCCGTTTACCTTTCGGATGAACAGTGAATCACGAACGCGGTACTTCCTTATTGCGATAGGTAAAGACAATATTTACTAGGTTATTAGGGGGGAAAGGGATTGTTAGTAATGGAGACTAAAAATCCCATTGCTAGCAATATACCTAACCAGGTCGACCTCCTCGTGGTTCCCCATGGAAACTATCATGGTTAATTCCTGATGAATTTATCATGATGGGCTAACTGGCCTGTTTTCATTCTCATCGATCACCCTTCACTGGTGCTCCGCCAGCATATCCCATTAGCGTAGGCGGGGTTACCATTCCATTTTCATCCAGCAAAAAAAAACTAGGTTATTAATAATTTATAAGTGAGTACACTTGTATTATTTGTATAATGATTATTTAAACTGATTAAATGACTAAATAATCATCATTTACTTACGTGACTAATATTTAAGTCTATTAAAGTTAAAAGTTATTGGAATAGGTAAAGAAAATAACAGCTAATAATGTATACACAAATAACATAAATTGATGATTAATTTCTCGATTATATTTTTTTTAAACGTTTACATTACACCTTTATTGGTTGTATAAAATATAATTATAATCATTTTCCATATATGTAACTTTGTTATAGTCTACTACCTACCAATTAACCGTTAAAAAGTTTATCATACTGGATCAAGTCTTAGAAACATGTTACTTGACGTTGACAGAAAATCGCCAATTACAGACCTTTAGACGTATGTTATAATTTACTGGTAACTGTTTATTTTTTACACATTTAATATTCACTTATGTTCCAGGATAATACTATATTTAGAATTTTCATAATGTGTACCTTCTTTTTTATTTACGAACGTACATACGTATCCGTCACGCCTGTCTCCCATCGGAATAGGAACAATAGACAATGGACGCCAAATTCACGATTCAAATACATGTATGTTCTCCTTTCGCTACCTCCATATGCATCAATCTATTTATACACGCTCACTGGTTCGTGTACTTTTAATTTATCCCTTTTTCAGCATGTTACCTATTTGGTCCACATACGTCTATCTAAGGTGGATGTAGATATCTATCTTCATTTATTCGTGAACGATACATTTCTTTCATAATTGTTCTTTAATCCACCCTATCTAAATAGCCAAACCATCGCAATGTTTTCTTTTTTAATCTTTGTCACTATTAGAGGTAGTTCATATATAGCAGTATGCATATATCTTAATAATATCTATATACTGGTCCAATAAGGAATATGTTAAAAGTCTGATATTTAAAAAATAATATTGGATAAATGGTTTTTAACATATTTGAAAATCGATATCCGACAATATGAGCAATATCTAAATGGGTGATAAGTTATTTCCGCCAGCAATGCCCAAAATAATCTTATATATAGATATCGGATCGGTATCTATATTACCCATACCACAGATACTATACTACTATAGTCCATGTCTAGTACTACATCCCTTTTCAGTCATTTCTCTCTGATCACGCTATTTCTCACTAAACAATTTGATAATTTAAAAAAGGAATAGGACATCATAGATTCATTTTAATTATGACATCTTTAACATTAAACTAAAACTGATCAAAATTTATTTTACAGACAGATTTTTGTAAAACTGGGAACGGAGGTATAATACCACAGTTCTCAGGAATAGCAACGCATGAACAGCACTATGGGCATCAAAGTGTACTTTGTAATATACATAGTGCAGTTTATATGTATAGGCGACGGTTACCACTTTCTATCAAGGTAGCATCAGCTTATTTGTCAATCTAAGTATCATATAAAAAAGTCCATCACATATTTATATACAAAAATTATTAATCATTAAATATTGAAATTTTTATAAACTTCCAATTTACTTAAAAATTATTCCAATGTGTATTTTCCTTTATTTACGCTTTCGAAATTTCATTCTCTATCTGATTATCATTATGATGTATGTTTGTCTTAATTTCGAACAAAAGAAACGTCACAGGTTGAGTTATTTTGCAGCAACGGTCCCCTTCCACCTGTCCCACTTAGAGCTAATATTTATTTGATTGCCAAATTCCCATAATATTTCCCTACCTGGCCGCCCATCGGTGCCGCCAATTATAAAGAAAAAATAAGTAGCTTTTTTAAAGATCTTTAAGATATGCGCCTGAATTTATTGTTTACGAATACAATTAAAGGGACTAATGAGATATTAAGGTTACAGGAGAACTTTAAAGACATAATAAGAGAAGGAAATAAGAAGAGGGAGAGAGTTGTGTCAACCGTTAACTGTACACTGCTGAACATAACCTCTCCCATAAGGGGAATTTTGCCAAATCAAATCAAATCAAATCAAATCAAATTTATTCGCTTGCTACATGGTACAATAAGACGTTACATACATATACAGGCACATAATATGCAGCACCCCGCAGAGGTATGCAAATGTTAAAATGGTTTTAAGTCTACATTATATTACAATTATAAGTCCAAACATTTTCCAATACAAATAGTTACCACACTTGGCAGGTGGGCCTGCAACCGCAGTTTGGCTTTTGGTGATGTTTTAAGAGGGACACTGCTGCTCACCCCTCTATCATAAGCTCCCTTAGCCGTCTCTTACGACACTCACGGGAAAGGAAAGGGTGTCCTATTCTATACCAGAACCAAACGGTATTTCATTTATGGAACACCATAAACTATAATTGCAATAATTTTGACTTAAAACTATTAGAAAATTAGTTCATATCGGTCTATACAATTAAGATTTCGCTATGATATCAAATTAAAATTTTAATTTTAAAGATAGGTTTAAAGAAATGGCGTTTCAGAATTGACCCCAGTACAGATTCCTTTTTTTTAAGATTTTAGAATCCTACGCATGTTTTAACGGCTACCGTTAACGCTGTTATATAGTAATAAAACAATCGCCAAACGCCGAGCGATTTATTACCTTAATGTCATAAAATTAGCGTTCTAATTTGTTCGTAGCAATTTGTGTTTATGACTTTTCCTTTAGAGCCGATGGCACCGCTCCCGCCACTACGCGATTTCACGGCTATTGTCGCACAAAACCGCCGCTGATTCCAGCGGATGCAAATTACTTTCCTTGCTTTACGATTCCTCTTTCAGACCGCTTGCAGTAATGACCGGTGGTTCGCTAAACGGAAATGGACTTTATGTACTATAATTGAAGTTTTATTATCGTTTATTGATGTAGGAATGTCATTAAGTCAGCCTTGAGAAGGCGCGATCTAAGTTGTGATGCCTGACGCAGTTGGATCGTATCGTACAGGCGTATAAGTGGCAGTTCTGGGAATCGGTTTAATCGACAGATCATCGCATAGACTGATCTTGGGTTAAGTGGATTTCAAACAAGTATTTAATCACGTGCTTTATTAGATGCACAGCAACCACAAGTCTAATTTGGATTCTAAGCAAATAGTTTTACCAAGAAAGTCTAAAGCTATGTAGAAGCTTTCTCGGGAATAATATTTAAAACCAAATATACCTAAATAATATTCATTCTATCTAGAAATTTGTGATAATCTAGAAGAAATTTTAACAGGGAACAGCAGTAAACACATTGCTTTGGGTACTAGGTTTAATTCTCGGTTGAACCAATTTAGGAAACGAACTTTACTACGACTACTAAGTCTGAGTGGTCTGGGTTATACCTCAGCTATTGTTCACATGGTTTAGTTTCCATTACCATGGAATAGTTTCTTAGATAGAGGAATATAATTATTTTGATTATTTATTACTCCATCGTGTTCCATCATTTATTATTCCAATCGTATTTCCACTGTGAAGCAGTTGTGTTTGCATGGCTGTGTTTCGTTTTGAAGGGTAGTATATGACATTAAATTTACAGGATACAGAGAAATAACATCTGAGTCCTTAGAAATGGCAATGCATTATTATCAACGCAAAAGGGGTATCATGGGCGAAACAGTATACTCGTTATGTCTACGGTACTGCTCAAGTCTATAGGCGACAGTTACCACTTTTCACCAGATGGGCCATCAGCTTGTTTGTTATTCTAAGTAACATAAAAAAGAGGATAATTTGTTTGTTATTTGTAACAGTTTATTGTACAGTAAAGTATTAAATTATAGGATACAGGATTCTTAAGACAATAATGAGTACAATAGCGGGTTTAAAAGGACTCATAAAAGATATAACAGTTACCCTTGGAATGTCTCATAGAAATAAAAAGTATCACAGTTACAACCCAATTTATTGTTTGTTATTGTAATGAATAAATTTAAAACCACTCATCCTTTATTATATATATATTTATATATATATATATATATACTTTTCTAT